TGTTCTTTCATCCTTCCTTCTGCATGACAACTACGCCGCATAATACATGTATGTATCCTCTTCATCCAAGAAACTATGACAGAATAATCTCGCCTACCATTACAACCAAAATTCCCAGCAAATCTCCAGTTACAAAGAGCAGAAACATTGTCAGTAATTCCAGGCACACTACAAAAGAAAACACAATGTAAATTTGCTCATATTCTATACATATATATATATATCACTGGCATGTAGTCTTATTATCAGACTTCATTGATACTGTTCAAGACAAAACAGATAAGTTTCAACATCAGTCTTAAGTTGTACAAACAAAGTCCAATCATATGCAACTTCGTAACATAGTCTTTCAAGCGATCTTTGTGGTCATCCCAACATAAAGCCTCAAAAAAAAAAATTACTGAATATAAACATAAATATGATTAACAAAAACAGAATATCAGAAAGTTCCCAACATGTCTGAGATCTGATATTCTCACAATGGTGACTATGAAGATGTGATACCATGCAGCCTAGTACAAGGAACACACTGCATCCATCTTCAAGGTCAAAGGGCGAGACCTGCAAAGCAAGCAAGCAGAACCTAGTGGTCTTACTCTGTGACCCTACCAGTCTACACGGCTTCACAACACAGCAGATAGTGCTCTACTTGTCACTCAGCATTCGGGGATAAAATAGTTTACTCTGTCAACTTTTCAATGTTTTTCGTAAAATTCATCTCCATTTGTCATCATGAGTATTATCGTTTGTCTAAAGCAATTTGGCTTAAGGATACGAAAACTAAGAGGGAACTTTGTCTTCTGAGTAAACTGTGAATCTGGTTCCTGTGTTTGATGTATCAGTCCCATTACTACTTCATCCTATGTTTTCTTTGGTAATGTAACCTCAGATTCGAGTTGAAGGGAAACTGTCTTGAACACACTGTACAGGTGTAGGGCAGGCTGCCAGTGTGGTACAGCATGTGTCTTTTGAGGTAATGTTTAGTTAACTTCTTGTTACAAAAGTCACACGAGTAACGCCCGTCTTTTTTACATTTTTGTAAGAGGGAACTTTGTCTTCTGAGTAAACTGTGAATCTGGTTCCTGTGTTTGATGTATCAGTCCCATTACTACTTCATCCTATGTTTTCTTTGGTAATGTAACCTCAGATTCGAGTTGAAGGGAAACTGTCTTGAACACACTGTACAGGTGTAGGGCAGGCTGCCAGTGTGGTACAGCATGTGTCTTTTGAGGTAATGTTTAGTTAACTTCTTGTTACAAAAGTCACACGAGTAACGCCTGTCTTTTTTACATTTTTGTAATTCACGTTTTATTTTTCTGCATTTATCAAAGCTTCTGGATTCCTCATTCCTGTTTTCTGGTTCTGATTCTACACGCTGAGTAAAATTCTTTGGAACACATTTATGTTCTTCAGTTTCACATTCTGCGTTGCTCACTAATGTACTCCCAGGTCCAGAATTTTCTTTCACATTCTAAAATGTAGAAACAGAATTTACTTCAGCTTGTATAACAACAGTGGGCTTGAAAAATTAATTAACAAACTAGCTCCAAGAGATCTGAGGATCCTATCAAGATTACATTCTTCTCAAATATGACAACACTGTTTCGTTTGGTACATGGCCACCAACACTTTAGTGGAACTTGTATCTCCATCTTCAGGGTAGAAGTGAGGCCAACAAGGAAAAGTGGTACATAAGGATCAACTGGGAAGAGAGATACAGACCAGCCAGCGGTCATGATGTAAATATATGATATTACCTTTCAGTGACTCAACTAACAATTTTGAATAAATACATACTGTGACCAAGTAGATAGATGTGACTTTATAATAACCTTCAGGGGGTAGAGGACATGCAGTTCAGATTCCAGAATAATCAATTTCAATATGAATATTCTATTCTGTGGTTAACACTAACCAAATTCAGTGCTGGGTATACTTCTTCAACTCTCTTCAGTAAAACCCGTGGGATTCGGGTTGCTAATGAGTGCAAGATTCTATGCAACTTTGCAAGCCGTTCTTCTTCACTGTTTGATCGTTGAGTATATTGAAATGTGCTGTGTGTTTCATGTACTGATGACATTCTGAATGATGGATGTCATGACATAACCACATGCCTTCATCTGGCACCTCTAGCACTGTAAAAAAAGAATGCATACATATTAATATAACTCAATAATAATCAAAACCTTATATTTAAAAACAGTCCCCTCAATGTAGGGTATCATTAAAAGACATGCACCAAATAAATTGAACGCGTAAAATATACTAGTTTTGTTTAAAAATTGTATACAGCATAGTTGGGCGATGCACACGGTAGAATAAAAACTATGGTTTACTTTCAGTATTTTAGAAAATCTAACAAATGTGTTCCACTTCCGTATCAAACTTAACAGATCGTAAGTAAGTTGTTACGAACACATCAGATCCTTCAGTTATCGTTCGCACCCCCCGGTTCCGTGACGATTACATTTCCTAACATCTATCAATGTGCTTAATAAATACCAAAATATAATGAAGTTAAGTCAAAACTCGGCGTCAGAAATTATAACCTACTTAAGACAGAAAAGACTCAGCATCTGACAACTTCTACTCTGGACGCCTCAAAGCATCTAAATCACACTTCATTTGCGCGTGGACCGACTTATTTAACAAATGCACGGTAATAGGAACAATTCCCCAAAGCTCAAGACAATCCATAATCAAGATTTTCTCAACGAAAACGCGGAGACCAAAAACACGACTAAAAAAATGAGTTGCAACCTTGTCCTTTTCATATGATTTAATACAATTGCCAGACTTCACGTCGGAACGCCAACACAACCACACTTCGAACCGATGAACAATTTGGATTCGGAACCGCTAGATCGCACTACATGCTCTCAACAAGTCACGAACGTCACGAATAATGGAATCGATAGAGCGTAGAAGAGCGTGGGGGGAAATTGTAAGTGCAGCTTTGCGAAGAAGGGGATAGATGTCTCCAGCGTCACCAGTTTGCTCAATATTAACGCTATGTATGGTGACGTTCTTCGTAAATCTATGAATACTGCATATAATTGGTCTTCAGGGTGTCGTAATGTACTGCCTATGTCACTTTCAAGGTTTCTGATGCACCTAAGCAGGTACATTGTGGCTTACAATGACCTAAGAACATCCGACAACCTATGAATATTAACTAACAAACTTCTAAGATAACTACGAGACCATCTCAACACATTACATAGACGGCCGCGACACAAGTAATGCGAGAATCATTGGATGGTTTAATATACTGGTCGGAAAAAATCGACGCTACCAAGATCGAAACGACATTCAAGTGTAGGAAAGTTCAAGGCAGAAAGGAAATTTACTACAAAGAAGGATCATGATCGATTTGAGGTTCTCACAGCAGTGACCATGAGTAATACTGTCTTCGGGGATTTGACGCTGTGTAGTCTGGTAGAAATTTACTGACGTGTTGGAGGCAGTATATAGCTTTAAAAGGTCGATAAACTTAATACACTACATGAAGTCATATCCCAGAAGACAGTACCGCTGTGAGAACCTCGAATCCAACATAAATAAACAAATTTGTAAGATACCATTCATGTCACATTTACGCAAGAAAGCCGTATCATAAAGCAACGTAATTTCTGCGATAGGTGTTTCTTGTACAGCAAATCGCCTTGCTTCGGGCAATTGCCGACATTATGAAACAACGGAAAACCATTTGGACAAATGAATTCAAATGAACCCCATGGCACCCGCGCATTACTCGTGGGGAGAAAAAAAATTGCTCTGAATTACGAAAGCGTCTAGCAATCAATAATTTATACGCCGCTTTGTATGCCTGTCGTTCTTACGTAAAATAAATTCCTAGTACAAAAGGCATGAAGCGCCTACTTTTTAAAATAATCTGTTAACGACAACTATTGTATCGATTTCAATCTAGTATTCGAACGTCATGGGACTGCAGGGCGGTATGAAGGAGGAAACCTAGGCATGTGCCCCTCTGGATTTTTGGAATAAAATCAAAATTGAATGAAAGACACAAAATAAATGAGATTATTAATAAAATTAAAAGTGTTTAGAAACATTTTTTTCTGTTTTGGATATTTTACGGCAGGTATGTCCAACGCGTCGATCGCGGGACGATTTTTGGTCGATCTCATAGGCCGATAAGGAAATTATACGTTAAAAGCATATAAATTCACTTGTAATATAAAATAAGAAAGAGATCATAGCTACTACTGAAGATCTTTAATTATCAAGAAACACCATTATGCGGCGAATAGAAATGATGTGTGGAAACATAACTGAACAGTTGAAAGATGTTTCCAATTGTGTTGCTTTCTCCCTCCTACTGGATGAATCTACAGACGTCAGAGACACAGCCCAGTTACTAGTTGCTTTTACAACAAACATCATGTGTCGTGTTATTTTTACCAATATTTTTGCTTAAAGCGGGGTACGGCAATAGGAGGTGGTGGTAGATCACTGGCAATTTTGACACTAAAAAGTCGATCACAGCCTGTTTGAAGCTGGACATGCCTGTTTTACGGCAATCACTAAATCAGTTTTTAACGTGAGGCCGCAAGCAAACTTTCGGTTCCCCCCGCCCCCTTTACCAAACATCCTGGTGGTGTCCATGAAACCAAAGGAATCCAATTTCTTTCGAGGAACGCCGCTAAATTCTCCACAGAATTACATGTGTTCCACAGTTCATTTCAAGTGTTCTTGTTAGAGAACTGCAGAAAGCTCTTCCAGTTCTTTGGCGAATTTATAGCGAATAAATGTGAAGCCAACTCTATGCCTAACAGATCACTAACAAGACATGAAGGGAAAGGGCGGTAAACCTCCACGCATTACTAAAGTCAGTATTGGATGGAGGAGAGCTTCAGGCCCCAGCCGCTTTACCCGCGGGTTGGAGACACAGTTGGTCTGGACGGTGCGGAGAAGAGGCATGTCTCTGATATCATGTTCCTTAGTCATTCAGCCCGGAGCCTAGTCACTATACTCACTGAGCTATAAGTAGGAAAACAAGTAAATTGCAATGGCGGAAAGTGACGTCGCGAAGCAGGCCTGTACGACACCAGCTTTCACATGACAGGATAATATAGTCTGACTGACCACATGGAGCCGAGTCCCTCTTGGGAAGCTGACAGTCGGTCAGCCACTCAGCAAATTTACGGCACGTTATGAAACCAGATGGTTCAGTACCATGTTCACAACAGCCCGCAGGAGGACCCTATCCTGAGTCAGCTGAATAAATCCCACGACCTCTCATCGAATCCTTTCAAGAAATATTTAATATCATCCTTCCATTTATGTCTAGGTCTTCTAATCGTCTCGTTCCTTCAGGTTCTTTCATCCAAACTTGATGCGCACAGCGTACCCATGTGTTCTACATGCCCTGACCATCTCATGCAATAGTCCCTCCACATACTCCTGTTACTTCCTGCCAACGAAGTCCAAATTCTATTCTCACCCACCCCCTGTCTGGCTGTGACCATTTCTTCTTCTGTGAAGAGACGCCATGCAGTTCAGTAGGGTGCCTCCGTCTTCAGGGTGGAAGGGTGGAAGCAAGTAACCACCACGGACCCGGCAGAAAGCATAAGCAGAACAACCAAGAAGATGAAGGCAGGAATTTTCTTCGAAACACCGACGAGATTCTACCTGACTACACGGCGTCATATAACATAAGAGAATACTGTTCGTAGCTGCCGCTGTACCCTTAAATGTCACATCCACACGCAACTACAGGTTAAATTATAGGTTTCTGTGCTTCAGCATACTGTAACCTTACAGGGAGGCAAAACATTCTGGGTCGCACTGCAGAGTCTCAGCACCGCACGAACTGAAGTCATTAGCGAGGGAGCCGTCCAGGGAGGTGCCGCTTCACGCAGGTACTCTCTCTACTTGTCTTCTCTGTCATCTCCTTATTCACCCTTCTCTTCTCTCCTCCTTCTACTTCTCATATTTCTCCTTATCACCTTCGCATTCCTGTTTTCCTCTATCTTCTTCGTCTCTCTTTCCTTCGGTTGCTCCACTCACAACTCTTCCTTTCCACTGGTACTTTCTCCCGTTCTTGTTGTCTCCTTTCTACATATAAGGGCTGGACGGCCGAGGAATCTGGGATCGTTTCTCAAAAGGCGGTTAAGAATATGTGGAGCTATATCTCCACTCCCCATGCGTGGTACTTAATTAAGCACGGGGACGGCTTTACCTTATCTCCAGCAGCTCAGACTGGCGGCGTGACAGCGAATCACGTGCTGCGAGAGACGGCAGGGAATAATTTGAGGAATTCTTCCTACATTCGCCTGGGTGAACTGAGGAAAACCACGAAAGTTGTCAGTCAGGAAAATCGGTGTCCAAGCTACTCACTTCCTGAAAACTATTCGGATGCTTCTCCGCTTGCGTTGCGGTCTCGTGGACTGACGTCACATATATTTGTAACTGGTTACCAGCGTTTCGGAGGAACAGCTGCTACCATGTTCAGAGTCGAATTGTGTCCCCCCCCCCAGGTATTTAAGGAGGCTTTCATTATTGGTAGTAAGTACAGATGGATGATGAGACGGCTAATGAATGACGAATTGGAAAGGATTTTGAAGGAATGGGTAGTGGCTTAATCTTGGTACTACCCAATCTTTTATCTGAAGGGACTGCGGAAAACCATGGAAAATCTCATTCAGGATAACTAGTATCTCGGCCTTGATACAAACAATTCACTTCCCAAATACAAGCACAGGGTGTTGCCTCTACACTAACCTGCTCAACAAAATTATGTTATTCTGACACAAGGATTTTGTTTCCAGAATGACAAGAATTATTCTGCTGCTGGTGCTGTGTGCCCAACATGGCAGCCTCCTGAGTACATCACAGCACCAAATGGCGGCCTGTGTGGACGCCATTGTACACCAACACTTCACGCCACACCCACAGGTGGTGGTGTCAATGCCTGGCACTCAACGGAACTTCACACAGCACACACTTTCCCCTGGGTCACCGCAATATGAAGATTTCGAAGTGGTTGATCTTGTACTGAAGGGCATGAACAAGGAGATGGGCTATCCTGTTCTGATCTCACAGAGCAGGCATACACAAATATCACCCAGCACCGTGAATCTGTTTCATGGTGACTTGTGCCCCAAAGTCCACAGTTACATCATTTTCCTTTGGAGAGATGAGCAAAGTGGCAGCATACTTACGTCCTTGAACCAACAGCTGGAATCACTGAAGGTCAATAAGTATTCAGACAGCAGATACAGACAAGACATGCTGATTGTGACCACTGAGATTCCATTGTCACTTGCAAAGGGTTTGCTGGAATTCTTGTGGAAAACCAGAAGGATCGTGAATGCATTGATCTTGTGACAAAGTAGTCATACGGCGGAAAATCCGACTTTCGATTTATACACATGGTTTCCATACGAATCAGGGCACTGCGGAGAAGTGAAGAATATTATCCTGCTTGACCAATGGACAACAGGAAGATTCAGAAGCAATGTTCACTTGTTCCCGAACAAGATTCCTAGTGACCTGAAGGGTTGCCCCATCCAAGTGGCCACTATACATTACCCACCGTTCGTGATAATGACAGAAAGTTACACAAACATGGATGGCAGCACCACATACATGTTCAGGGGTTTAGAAATTGAATATCTTCTCCTTATTTCTGCAGTTATGAACATCAATATTAAGTTCCTGCCACCAATAGAAAGCAACTTACTGAAATTGGGCGAGTTAGGGGAAGGCAGGGCTGACATTGTCATCGGTGCATTTCCTACAAGATTTCAACAAACAATTGATGAGGATCCCACAAAAGCTTATGTATATACAACTATCAAATGTTATGTTCCTTGCCCTAGACCTCTTCCCAGAACAGAGGGCATAACACGAGTGTTCATGCCTTCTGTATGGCTAGCCATGTTTCTGGTTTTTATTCTGACTGCTGGCCTCTTCTGGGTCACAGTCAAGACAACACTTGACGCTGCACTACATCACTGCTTCTACACTGCCTGGGCTGTTCTCTTGGGCGTTTCAGCACCAGTAATTCCCACAAACCACAAACTTAGGATTTTCTTCTTAACATTTGTTTGGTATTGCTTTGCCATGAACACAGTGTTCCAAGCATTTTTTATCTCATTCCTCATCCAACCAGGATATGAAAAGGAGATCCAAACAATGGAAGAACTCAGAGAGGCTGGAATACAAGATCTTGTATTAGATCGTTTCATGAAGGAATTTGCAACAGATGATGAGAAGGCATACTGCAGAGATGATGAATGTTTAGTGAACTTGATTAAAAAACAAGACATTGCACTGAAGACTAGCAAACATCATATGGAATACATTGCTTCAACTATAGGTATAATTAAAAATCATGATAAGTATTTGTGTTTTCTTGATGATATCATAGGTCCAGTAATGTACAGTATGTATTTACTGAAAGGAAGTCCCCTGCTAGACAGATTAAATGTACTAATTCAACGCTGTTTGGAAGGGGGCATTGGTGAAAAATATTGGGCAGAACTCAGGTGGGATGCAATATTAAAAAGCAAAGCCAACTTTATGGAACATGCCACAGCTGATAGTGACATGTATTTTGTGTTCAGATTGTCACACGTCAGAGTGGCATTTAGCACGCTACTTCTGGGGTGCACATGCAGTATGGTTATGTTCTTAGCTGAGGTCACATTCAACTATACATGACATTGGGATAAAACTTTTAAGATGAAGAGAATAATTAATTAAGACTGAAGATGATCCTATGATATATGATTATGTTTCAATTCAGAAAATGCGTCACAGTACGCTCTACAGTATGGATAACTTGTACGCTTCAAAATACAGGTATTGTCTGTGGTATTAAATTCCACTGACTTTCATGTATTAATGTAGATTNATATGATTATGTTTCAACTCAGAAAATGTGTCACAGTACGCTCTACAGTATGGATAACTTGTACGCTCAAAATACAGGTATGGTCTGTGGTATTAAATTCCACTGACTTTCATGTATTAATGTAGATTTTTTCCTATAGAAACCTTTACAACCCACAGCTGCAATAAAATACAAATAATTGTGGGTCTACTGACACCTTAAATAAGGGCAAAAATACTGCTAATGTGAAATTAAATGTAAATTGCAACTGCACTACATGTCACCTCCTTACATGACTGATGCACGCACGTAAGCTAGCCAATGGCGTGATACAAATCCTGCTGCCTTCAATGCATCCTCATATGCAATCCACATTTTCCAACAAATAAAAATTTCTTTAAAATACTTTCGGGCAAATTTGTTTTAGCTTTTCATTCTTTATTAAAAAGCTAATATTTATCTCGCATTTTCATAAAGGCATCACAAATTTCATAATCAAGTTGCATAATTTCTTTAGGAATGAAATTACAAGAATCTTCTGCCAGAAGACCCAAGGAGCTGCTAAAATTCAATAGAAACCACTTACATATGGTGGGTTGTAGGAATACCTACAGGACACTGTCACCTGGAAGGACACCTTTTCAAAATTGGACAGACAGACAGTCTTATTAGCGAAAGGTGCCTAGAACAAGATGAATCGGCTGCACACACATATATACTACTGTGAAGCCATAACTTACTTAAGGTTCAATCACTGGGCCATTATTTTGTGGCACCAGATGACTGTCATGACAAATGAAGTGCAGGATCCTTGAAGGGCTAAAGAAGAGCAGTAAGCACAATAGATGACTGAAGGTTGTGGTGCAAGGGCCAGTAGTTGGGCCCACCCCTTATATATGTGTAACACAGACACACACTGTTACACATTTTCAAGAGTCTGTTTATGAAAGTAACTAGGGGAAGGTTGCTATCGATGGGCCACTTTAACAAAACGCTCCTTAAAATCGTCAAATTTGGGAATTTTAGAGTTTTGTACATGTTAATGTAAATATTACTTTTCATACTACACATATCTAGAAGTAGACGTTGCAATTATGAAAGGTTAAGTAAATATTGGGAAAATAAAAATAAGTGTCATTGGCCCAATGAAGGAAACCGGTCGCCTTCATTGGGCCGGGGAGTTTCCATGAATGGGCCGGTAGCTATTTTATTTTTTAATACAGTATCGCCTTAATACAAGTCAGTAAAATGTTTAAAACTATTTTGAGCATGATTCGTAAATATTAAATGCTGATTAGAGACCAACACAGACCACAGAAAATACATTGAAACATATTAAAGATAGCTTCGCATTATTCACACGGAATCATTAAATGCTACTTTAAAATCAGGAGTAGGATTTTTGTTTACTCTTTTGTAACCATAAAATAATGTGAGAATCTACGAAATAACATCGAATTTTGTTTATTAGAAACAATTTAATGGAAGTGAGAATTTGAGG